TGTTTCGTTTGAACATGCCATGCGTGTTCGTAGGCGATGAAGTATTTTTTCCAGCTTGGCAGATAGATTGTCTTTGATATTTTAGTGTCAGTGTTCTGTTTCACCTGTGTAATACTTCTTGCAGTCACAGGACGGTTTATAAACCAAACCTAGGGAATAATTTTCGGACTTACTTAATAGGGCAGTGTCGACTTCAGCATTTATATATTGTGATACTATATTTAGTACCCTTTGTAATTTTTCGCCAAAGTTGTTTGTAAAGGGCAAGTAAGTAAGGTGCTGTATTTCATGTCCGTTTCCTGATAATGATCGATGCCAGTTCGGTCGAAACGTTTAAATTTTTGCAAATAAAGCTGTTATCCTGTTTCTCGTGCTGCCAACCGTGGAACAGAAGATCTATCAAATTCAAATCATCGGCAGTTCGGTATCGGTGTGAGCCTCAGAAATTATTTATAGCTAAGGTTTGTTATACAAACTGCCTTTGACATTACTGCTGTTATAGTTCAATTTACAGTCCATCCATCTGCGGTTTATAAAAGACTGAATTTACAGGCAGCACGGATTCAATGCTAGCTTCTCAACTGCAAACGAACCCAAACTGTACGGAGAAGAAACCGCTTGAAAAGAGATGGCTGTGTGAGGAAAATTAGCCCACCGAAAAAAACCGAGCGGACTACTATTGATGTAGTCGCCACTTGGAACCCCTGAAGTCGGGGTACATCGTAAAACTGATGGCTGACCGATGGACTTCAGCAATGACGTTACCCGCGGGGATGCAAGTTCTCAAATGGCAGACATCAGTTCAGATGGGATTATGAGCCATAGGAGAGGTGTGACATATTGTGGCAACAAACCGCAAGCGACTAACGAGCATAGGCTTCGAGACTAGGCAATGTTGAATCCCGTTAATTATGAATAAACATCATTTAGTTGTTATGTTAGGCGTTAAAAATTTGTTAAGATTAAAACCAATCAATCATTTGAGTTTATTGGCTTATTCAACTGGAGCTGTTATCAGCACAGAGAATTCACTAAGCTACAGATCAACCATGTACTTATATGAGCAGCGCGAGTATTTTGAATGTCACTCTCATTTGTGCTTACTTGCGTTGCCACGTAATTCTTCTTCTGTTGTTAAATTGATTTCGTTTTGATAATCAGAGACGCTAAAAGGTCTTTTGTAGCCTTTAACATAAGATTTGTTTTAGGCACAATTAGAATATTTTATGTATTTTTAATTAGCACTCTGCATCTCAACTACTGTTCATTTCTGACAGCAGTGCAACAAAATCAGTTTTCAGCCTCTGCTGGTTGTTATTTTATTGGTTGGAGCTGACGTAATAACACGAATGCCTTTGTTACTGGGAAGAAGGAGTCGATTTTGTATGTTATTGAGCGCAACTTGAAAATACACTTCGATGAAGCTGGCATTCAGTATGTCTTTCTTAAGCGCTAATAAAGTTGGAAAACTAGACATCAA